CCCTTAAGGATGACTTTGAGGGGTCCAAGACTTCAGTGGAGGAAGTCACTGCATATTTGGTGGAAATAGCAAGAGAATCATAATTAGAAATGGAGCCTGAAGATGCGACTGAATTGCTGCCATCTTACAATAAAACGTGAACAAATTAGGAGTTGCTTCTTATAAATGAGCAAAGAAAGTGGTTTCCTGAGATGGGATCTACTCCTAGTGAAGATGCTGTGAACATTGTTGAAATGACAAAAAAAGATTTAGAATATTACATAAGCTTAGTTGATACAGCAGCAGCAGGGTTGGAGAGGATTGACTCCAATTTTGAAAGAATTTCTATTGTGGGTAAAATGCTGTCAAACAGCATCCCATGATACAGAGAAATCTTTTGTGAAAGGAAGAGTCATTGTTGTCTTATTTTAAGAAATTGCCACAGACTTTAGCAACCACCGCCCTGAGCAGTCAGCAGCCATCCACATCGAAGCAAGACCATCCACCAGCAAAAAGATTACAACTTGCTGAAGCCTGAGATGATCATTAGCATTTTTTAGCAATCAAATATTTTTATCAAGACATGTGCATTTTTTTAGATATAATGCTATTGCACACTTAATAGACTACAGTATCATGTTAAAGTATAACTTTTATATACACTGGGAAACCAAAAAATTTGTATGACTCACTTTACTGTGATGTTGGCTTCATCGCGGTGGTCTGGAATGGAACACACACCATCTCCGAGGTGTGCACGTATATTGTTTTCCAGCCTTTTTAGAAGAGGAAGGCAAGTGAAAGGGGAGTTGGGAATGGATAGTGAGTGAATCTTACTTGCAGCTTCTACTGCAGTCTTCTTTTAAACTTGTCAGTGTGTCCTTGCAGCTGTTGGTACCTCCTTTGGAGGTGTCCTCCCCTGCCCATTTGGGACCCCTAGTGCAGAGGTGGCTTGGGTATCATGATCCTTCAGATCCTTCTGGGATCCTTCACAGACTGAGAAAATGGTGAAAAATCTATTATGAATTCATCAATGCTTTTAAATGAATTTGTAGTGTTATTAATCACATCTACACATATTTAAAAATATCAATCCCATATTTATGTTGTAGATGTTGTTATTTCACCTACAGATAAAATGCCTGGCACCCACAGGTTCATGGAGCCCTCTCCTTCTGCTTCTCACGGGTCCCTGCTCTGCAACGCACCTGTCTCCTTTCTGAAACACAGACATGGCTGTGTCACAACAATGTTGCTCAAAAATCTTTCATTTGTTTTGTGCCTATAGGAGAGATTCTAAAATGATTAGCATTGTATTCAAGGCACTTTGCAACTGGCCCAACTAGCCTGTGACCTTACCTTCTCTCTGGACGCTGCCCCTTCTCACTGGTCTCCAGCTTCAATAAGCGGCTTTGTTAATGCCTCTGAGCCTTTGCACAGGCTGTGTGGGCTGATCGTTCTTCCCTCTCTTCCCCACCTGCTGCAGAGCTGCTCATGCTTTAGATCATCTCAGATGTCAGGTTCTCTGTGTAGCTCTCCCCAGGGCCTTGAGGAGGAGCCGGTGAGCCCTTCTCTGGCTCCCATGGCGCTTTGTTTGCCCCTTAGAGTTATGGTGCGTTGCCCGTTCACTGTGATTGCTTATGGGTTTTCTTCGGAATCAATCTCATTCATCTGTCTATTTCTAGGGCCAAGAACAGAACCTGGCACACTGAGGGAATTCAATATGTGTTTATTGAATGAATACATGAAGGAATCAAGGGGACTGTGCAGGGAGTTTATCGTAAGGCCTTCACTTAGATCAAATTTAAGAAAACAGGCTGCTGCTCTTTTTCTTCCTCCTAGAACCAGACTTTTATTAACATAAAACAGATCTTCATTAACATAGAACCAGACCTTCATTAATAGGACCACATCTTATTAAGATATACAAGGGCTGTCTGGAAAGTATCCAGCCATTGTTTATATAATGAGAATGGTTTGTGCAACATATTACATGGCTGGATGCTTTCCAGATGGCTCTTTTATGTTTAGAGCTTTAAAAGAAAAAAAAACGCTGTCTTGTATTTCAGGGGTTTGAGGGATTTGTTTCCTGACACTGATATGCTTTAATTTTCTCTTGATTGACACAAAAGTAGTTTGGGTGGACGCCTGGCGAGGGTGGTCAGTCATTGCATGGGCATAAAAGGGTTGTTTCCTGACCCATGGGTGTCCTTGCTGTAGGCTCAGGGAACTGCAGGAGGAACTATCCATTGTGTGTGAAGTTCTTTTGATCTTAGTGGTGCAATAAAGCAGGGTGATTTCTTCTGTAGAGGGTTGCAGATGGCTGGTCAGGGTCTTGGGGAGGCATCCCCATGTGCACACAAATCTGTTCTCTACGTGCCTATCCCATGCACGGTGTGTGTCAGCTGGCACTGCTTCTCACTTCTCCACGCATGTACCTCGGGCCTCATAAAGAGCCTTAGTTTGAATTAGAAAAATCCAACTCCCTCTGCGTGGACACAGCTCCATGGGTGCATGGCTTGGCAACCTGACAGCATCTTTGTGCAGAGGCACAATCTTTCTTTCATCTGGGCAAAGCATAACCAGCACAAGCACATGGTGATTGGTTAATGTTAATGGTAATACCCCCTGACTCTACTTAAAACAAATTGCTCATAAGCTTCTTTTGTAATATTTATTAGTTCATTTATTCTTTGTGATTT